CCCTGGCATGTCTTCATATGACGAAGCAAATTTCTCAACATAGTCACGCAAAATCTAGATTAATCTGTTCTTGACGCTGTCTTCTAGGTTGGCACCAATCTTGACCTCTTTCCTATTTTCTTTAGTACCCAAGTTTACAACCTCAAATTTCTCTTCATGCGATTGTATAGCCTTTTCCTCTTGCATTAACAGTCTGGCAAGTTCTTCAGGTATTTCACAATCTTCGTTACCTTCGTCCTTGGCTTGGTAGATCGGATTTTAAAAGTCATAAGTGGAAATCGCAAAATTATTATCAACGAGATCCATAGTGGATGTGGATCTGAAATTTTTTGTGTGGGTGTGTGTAAGAACACATAGCTATTTTGAAAGTAAATAAAAGACAGACAAGGAGCCCAAAATTTGAATGCAAAATGATCAATGTTTTCATTGAATGAAGATATGTGAATAAAATGACAACCCTTAACAAGTGGACTGTTGTGCTCTGGGTAAGACACAAGGCTTGGAGTTATTATTTAAAGATTACATAACCAAAACTTTGAAAGCAATAAAATTGAATATAGAAATTACTCCTAACTAAAGGAGATTAAGATAAGGTCTTCGGTCTTCAAGTTACTGAGTTTGTTACCGATGGTAGGAAAGATCCAACTGTCGAGGTCATAGTCACTACCAAAATCTTCTATCGCATTGATTCCATCAATAGCATTAACGCCTTTGTCGTTCTTCGGCATAGGTGTTGTGATCACATTAGAGGTCTCAGGAGGATCAAACTAAATTTCTTTGTTGTCAATCATGTCCTGAATTTTATTCTTCAAAGCCCATCAACTATTGTTGTCGTGCCCGGGGCTATTGGAATGGTAAGCGCATTTTTACATTAGGATTATAACAAGGATAAGAGGTGTTCGGATTCTGAGGAGGGTCCCTCAGTGTAATCAGCTATACTTTCAGTAAGAGTTGTAATGCCTAAGACAATGGCATGTTGATCTTTGTAAACTGTCTTCAAGGTGCCTCTGACCTATGTTGATTGCCTTATTGTTGTTGTTGTACAGGCGTCGGGTTGGAAATTAGCACATCTCCTACAAAATGATTACGATCACTTCTAACATGACCCTTCTGGCCATACACAACATTTGTTTCCTTTTTACCGTTGAATGACTTCTTCACCGTACTTGAAGATGCGACCACTTGAAACTTTCCACTTCAGATACCACTTTCGACACGTTCTCCTATTAGTATCAACTCGGTAAAACCAGATGAAGAGCTTCCGATCAGATGATTAAAGAAAGGTCTTGTTAAAGTTCCTATGAACATGTCAACCAACTCCCTATCAGACAGAGCAGGTTAAACCCTTCCAGTTAAATCTCTCAACTTCTGGGCATACTTTTTAAACCCTTCATGAGAGCCCATAGTCATACTTTGTAGTAGCACACAGGTTGGTGCAAGGTCGGAGTTGTATTGGTATTGTTTATAAAAGGCAGCAACCAATTATTTCCATGTACATATATTGGTTCCTTCTAGATGATAGACCCTTTCCAGTTGTGTCCCAGATAAGCTCTCTTGAAATAAGTGAAACCATAACTTTATGTCAGCAGTATGGGGTTTGATCTTCTGGACATAAGATCTCAGATGAAGCTTAGAATAAGAAACACTATCATAGTTTGAAAAATTAGGGACCTTGAATTTGTGGGGGATAACAATCCCCGAGATAAGACACAGCTCTTCAAAACAAGCCCAAGCACTTTTTGGATTTCCATGGCATTCAGACGATCTTCCAGCTGTTTGTATATGTCATCAGCGGGAGGATATTTCTCATCAGAATAGTCTTTTTCATCATGAATTTTACCAGAACCAAGATTTCTTCGCCCTTCAGCTTTGATACTTCAGACGTCTTCTTCTTGATTGTCATTTTCATCAGAGGGAATATCACAACTCTAAGCTTTTTTAGGAGGACCTTTGAACCATCTCCCCATGTTGATGATACCAGCCAGTTTGCTAGTCTTCTTCTTCTTGGTGATGAGCGCCATCAGTTCTTTCTGCCCCTTGGCTAAGTTCAGGAGTGTCTCTTGGAATTGGGCATTTTTGAGCTTGAAGGTCTTTCACAGTTTGTTTAAGAGCCATCTTTTACTGAAATAAATAGCAAGAAGATGAGAAAGCATGTCTTGGGAAATGCCTGTTATGTAATGACATGCATGATATGTGGATGCAATGTTTTAAAGGATCTCAGGGGATAAACAAAAGGAAATGTTAGAAGTTGAGTCTGGCTACAACTTTGATTGAAGAACTTTACGTCTTTGAACGTCCTTCTATGAGAATCAGGCTCACCATGTCGAGTGGGTCCTACCCTTTGACTCAAGCGAAAGTAATTTGATCTTTGATGGCATTAGAGAAAAATAAATCCCCTTGCCCCTTGCTAGAAGTCTAGTTCATAATAAAACTGCATCACATGCCTTTGAGATCCTTGAAATGATCAGTGAAAATGATATGGTATGATGTCATGATGCCATGTTTGAACAAATAACAAGCATAAATAAAGCACACATGAGCCTTATGTTTAAGGCATGCACATGCTTCGTAGGTAAGTACCCTATTGAAGTTAATTTGGCTTAACCTGTCCTAAGAATAGTAACCGGGTTCTAGGAGTCTCATGTCACCGATCTTTCTCGCAACCATTATTTCAGCAATGCAGCTGACCTGCCACCAAAATATCCTGGGATTCGAATCTCAATGAGTGTAGCATAGAGTATTAACCAACTTTGGATTGCACCAAATACGACCATCTCACTACCTTCTAATGGCTGAGTTGGATCAATTAAGGTTCTAAAGGTCAGTTAGTGCTTATGACACCATGTGGCAGCCTAGTATTCTCCTTGATTGAATCAAGGGACACCAGTACAAACCAAAGTGTCACACTAACGTAGCTATCACTTCAACTGTATTGGTCTACGCCATACAATTTCCATGATCTATAGCTACTTACCTAAGGTCCCCAGATCTAGGTGTAGGATCTTTGCAAGAAAAGTAAACCCGAGAAACCAAATAAAGATAAAGCAGAAAATGTAAAAAAGTTTAAGTGATCTAATTCTAAGGTCACCCTTCTTTTAGTACAGTCCCCAACATATTCGCCAGTTCTATAATACGATGGGAGAACTGACTTGATTTTGCATTTTATCGCAAATGTTGTGGAAATCAAGAGTCACCATCGACTTTTCTTTTATCCAATAAGGAAAGGGTGAAGAGATCAGTGAGATATTTGTGTTCGGGGGTAGGTTATGAAAAGGGAAGGTGTTAGCACCCTTTTCATCTATAGTTATCGACGGGATCTTAATCGCTTAGCTTACTTTCTTTGAAATTTGATTTGTGTCATGTGTGTTTGAAAATATTTTTGAAAAGCTTAATTTTGTAATGATTCTCGTATTTGTCCTCGAGAATGTGTACAAAGTGTTTGTTTGAATTTTTTTATTGAAAAGTGTGATTGTGAGAGTGTTTTGTTTTGAAGAGCTTTGTGAGAAAGCGGTTAATAGTTTTACCCACTCAAGTTCGTTCTTGTTATTTTCCTTCTCCTTTAGAGATAGTGCTACCCATACCATTAGTTGGTAGGTAGCCCCATCTATTGGATGTGAAGGGACAGGCGTGGGTCATCATACAGTTATCAAAGGAACCTGGTAAGGACGCTTTAGCAATTATCATTAAGGGACTAGATCATTTACCGAAAGGCAACATAGAAGGGTCATCGAGGGACTATATCTTTATATCGATGGACTTTTGCTAAAGCATCCTCAGGTTCGAGGGACATGACTGTTATTTTCTGAAGGAATCAAGGGTGGTTGCCTTAGAGGTGTGAGTGTGCGAAGTGTATTGTGTTCAGTTATTTTTAGTCTATGTGTTAGGGTTAGCTATCACTCATTTTAGTCATTATATACAAGCCTAATTACTAAACAACAATATAGCAAAATAATAGCAGAAACATAAAGTGCAGAAAGTAAAAAGCAGAAAGTAAACCCTAAACTATTACATCGCTTTGGGAGAGGTACATAAGTAGAAAAATGTGAAAATATAAACCCTAATTACTATTACATCATGGGAAACAGTTACAATAATAATGAAAAGAAATGCGAGAAATAAAAATTACGTTCGCACAATCGATCTAAAAAAATGAAAAAAATAAAATAAAAGACGTTTGTGGTTAATCAATTAAAAAAGACTTAAAAAACCAAATTAATTTTAGTAATAAAAAAGAGAGTCAATTAATTAAAAAAACTAAGAGTCTAATTAATTTTAATTAACAAAATTAATTATTTAAATTAATTTAATTAAAAAAAGGTGATTAAAACTAAACCTAATTAATTAACCTAAACTAATATTTTAGTATTTTTATTAATAATAAAAACAAATGATTAAAAGAAAAAAGAGAAAAATATAAAGAGAGAAAGAAATTGAGCCTGATTATAGTAAAAAGGGGGGTACGATTGGCGTTTCGTTAGGCCCAAAGAGGAGAGGCCCAATAAACTGGATGATGTCTGTGTGTTCTAGTGATTTGATCTAGGGAGGGCGTACCATGGGGAAGCACCGTTCAAACGTTGGATATTGATTTGTAAATCTGACGGCTAATACGCGAGGGTGCTTGGTATGGGGCACGGAAGCCCGCACGTGCGATCTATGTCAGCAAATTGAACAGTGACAAGTGTCCCATGGCGTCGACACTTGTCACCAACGCATTTGTCGTGCAACACACAAATTGCATCCATCAGAATAATAAAACAAAAGAGATCAAAATATCAACAAAAAATATTAAAAAAGAAACAGAGGAATGTTTCTTCTTTCTCGTTAATCTTTCATCCTTCTTTCGTCTGAAATCGCCCATGGCGGTGCTGACGGCAGCTAAGCTTTGATCCCGAATTTTTTTACATCGTTCTCTTCATCTTATCCTTCTGAAAACTAATCCATGTCTAGATTTTGCAGGAACTTACGGATCTCGGTAGATCGGAAAGGGGGAAGATGAAACTCTAACTTGCCTTAGATGCCAAAATCGGTGAGGAGGATGAGGATGTTGCCTCTGGGATTTCTTCAGTGAGATCTTTCTTACTCTCTCTTTTATTCTTTATTTGTTTGCGATTTCGACTCTTTTCCTCTTCTTCTTTCTCGAATCTGAAGGGTTTGACGTTAGGGAAGATGATGACACATCTTTGGGTTTTGTGTGATGGTGGCCGTGGCTTTTTGTGATTTCTGTGAGCAATGTTTTTTCCTTGTTTGATTTCTAAAGGGTTTGTGTAAATAAAATTATGATAGGGTTTAGGATTCGGCTTTTTACTGCTGCGCAGCTTTAGGTTTCTTTGAACATTCGATTGCCCTTGAAAACTTTGCAATGATGGTTTTTTTTTATTGATACAATTAGGGTTTGGTTGTGTTGCTGGATTCCATCCTTTTTCGTTAACAGGCCTTGTCATATCTCCATTGGGCTTAAAATGATGTTGATACATTATTGTTGACTATTGAAGAAATGTTGTTACCACAGTAACATCTGTTATGTTTCTTTGGGCTGGAATTATGATATCCCTGCATTTTGTTACTACATTAAATTGTTTCTTTTTTGGACCTCTATTGTGAACCATGTTTCTGGCCTTTCTTGTGATTTGAAATGGAGGTAGTTTGGCCCATGATTGAACATTGTATGTATGAGTCCTTGGCTTACTTATGATTTATAAACCCTCCCTATATTTTGATTCCTACACAACCCTCATGATGATTTTGAAAAGAAAACCTCTTTTAAAATCCGTATTCTTTTGTTCAATGTTATTGATGATTTCTAACTAATTTCGTTTTCTTATTTCATGTGATGGTGACAAATGGTGAGAAATAAGAAGAGGAATATGTGGCCTAGCATGAAGCTTGGAAGGAGGTGACAACTTGAGGTTTGGAGGGCGACTCGAAAAAAATAAAGGCAATGAAGAACTCTCTTAGAAATCATAGGATTAGGCAACAAAATATGTAACATTGGTTGTACATTTGAAGCTTTAGGCAATTGAATGTTTTGTAGAAAACTTTGTGAGACTTGTAGATTTGATATAATTGTATTCAAGTTTAGAACAACTCTGAATGATGACAGGAGTGACTTGAATTGTAACATAAAATTTTCTTTGACTAATGAAACATGAGAGATCTTGAAATCTCTTTGGTTAAATTATTTGTCAATTGTAGCAATTAAATAAATCTTGTCCACAATGCAATAGAATTCCTTGTTTCAAAATAACAAGCTTGTAATCTCTCTTAACTTCGAATCTTAGAAAGAAAAGTGCCAAAAAATCTATGTAGGCAAAAGAACAAACTTTCCTTCCAATAGCCTCTTTAACATTCAAACTCTAAAAAGCCAAAAATGTTCAATAAAGAGCCCAGAAAATCTTCATTAAGCTTTGCATCATAACTTCACCATTTGAACTCAAAAAATTGAATCAGCTAGTAACCAAATATTCACATGATCTTAGAAGCCAGATAAAATCCCTTCTTAATAAAAAACCACATAGAAACTCAATTGATGACTGAATGTGTACCGAGATAAAACTCATGATGTGAATGTTTTAAGAATTCTGACAGGAGAGACATCACATACTTCAGTGATCAAACCCTTGCACAAAAGCCAAAGGATGAGAGAATATTTAATTCAAGATTCAACACTTGTAATTCTCAATTCTTTGATGGCAAAAAGAATCAAATAAGATGTCTTGAGGCTTTGAGAAACCTTGGTAGACTGAATGATCAAAATAATGAGGAGATGAGATCCATCTTGGACTGATTGGCAATACAATAGAAATTGATATCTTGTAGAGAACTTTAGAAACAAAACAACCTTGATCCTTAACATAATGTATGAAATGAATATGATGAAACATAAGCCATAAAAATAAAATGAAGAGGGCAAATTTTATGGTGCAACAGGTGCCTCAATCTGGGCAGACTCAGTAATTTGTTCTTTCCCTCGAGTCTCAGTAGTTGAGTCAGTAGAAATAACACAAACTGGTGTAGCAGCAGTCTTCGAAGAGATTTCTGGAGAGAAACCATTCCACTTCTAGTAACTTTACCGGTCCCAGCGATATTGTCACTGTTGGGATCAGTAACTTCAGTATTTCCACTTTCAATAGTCAATGGTTCTTGCTTGACGCCATGGTAGTATACGTCAGCTCCATAATTTCAAGGGATAGCCTTGTCAGAGCAATATGGAATTGGTCCGGGCGCGATAATGATTGGAGGAGAAACTATAGGTTCATCTGTAATCTTCATAGGACCTTTGGAAGTGATCCTTACAAGAGTTCCAGAAATTATAGATACCTCTTCAAGCTCTAAGTCTTGAAACTAATTCTCCATAGAAGGAGTCTTCTCAACTAGAATTATATGCTTGTCCATTAGACGCTGGATACCTTCTTTCAGCAGTTTACAATCATTGGATTAGGCCGTGCAGCAGTAGAACCTTTCAATTTAACCCAGAAATAAACCGGCTTGCAATAGTTCTACTTAATAATCGGGAGGGGAGTAGTCAAGTCACTTACAGCAAAAACATAAGAAACAACATCGATAGCATTAACACCTTTGTCATGGTTAGGAATAGGTGCAGTAATCACATTGGGGGTTTCGGGAGGATCAAATTCAATCTCTTTGGAGTCAATCATATCATGTATCTTATTTTTCAGAGACCAACAGTTATATGTGTCATGTCCAGGACTATTGGAATGATAGGCACACCTTACATTATTATTGTACCGAGGAGATGAGGTGTTGGGATTCTAAGGCGTATCTCTCAACATAATCAACCCCCATTCAACAAGTGTTGTAATGCCTGAGACAACGACATGTTGATCTTGGTAAATTGTCTCATGCATGCGTCTGACCTATGCTAATTTCCTTGTATATGTTGCGTTGGTGCGAGATTAGAGATTAGTACTGCCTCCATAGATTGGTTGCAATCACCTCTACCACGACCCTTCTGGCCATACATAGCATTAACTTCTTTTTTCCCATTGAACGTCTTATTCACAGTACTTGAAGACGCAGCCACCTGAATTTTCCACTTCTAATTCCTCCTTTAACATGTTCCCCTGTTAGTATCAACTCGGTGAACCCGACATAAGAGCTTCTGATCAGATGATTGAAGAAAGGACCTGTCAAAGTTCCCATAAACATTCCGTCCAACTCCTTATTAGACAAAGGATGTTAAAAACTTCCTTCTATATCTCTCCATTTCGGGACATACTCTTTAAAGCCTTTGTTCAAGCCCATGGTCATACTCTGTAGTTGCACGCAGGTTGGTATAAGATCAGCATTATATTTGTATTGTTTGTAGAAAGCAACAGCCAAATCCTCCCAAGTACGGATATTGGTTCCTTCTAGTTGATAGAACCATTCCAATTGTGTCCCAGATATGCTCTCTTGAAAGAAATGCACCCATAACTTCATGTCGACAGTGTGTGGTTGAATCTTCTGGACATAAGACCTCAAATGAAGCTCAGGGAAAGAAAAATTATCATACTTTTCAAAAGTAGGGACCTTGAATTTGTGAGGAATAACAACTTCTGAGACTAAACTCAACTCTTCAAAATCCAACCTATACACTCTCTGGATCTCCATAGCATTTAGACGGTCTTCTAGTTATTTCTAATTTTCATCAACAAAAGGATATTATTCATCTGAATAGTCTTCTTCTTCTTCATCATAATATTGGTCAGAATCCATGCTGCTTTCTTTCTCAGCCTTCACACTCTTACCATCTTCACCCTGGTTGTCATCTTCGTTTGATGGAATATTACAGTCTTCAGCTCTCTTGGGAGGACCTCCGAACCTTCTTCCCATGTTGAGAATTCCGATTGGTTTCCTTGTATTTTTCTTCCTCTCTTTGGTGATGAGGGTCTTCAGCTCTTCCTGCCCCTTGGCTAAGTTCACGAACATTTGTTGGAATTGAGCATTATGGGCCTGAAGATCTTTGACTGCTTGTTTGACATCCATCTTTTTACTGAAATAAACAGCAAGAAGATGAGAAAACCTGTCTATAACGTGCTTGTTATGTAATGATATGCATGATATGTAGATGCAAAATGCAATGTTTTCAAGTATCTCGTGGGGTAAAAAAAGATTGAATATGAGTCCTGGTTGTAGATTTGACTTGTGGAACTTCGAGTCTTCATTTTTGGACGTCCTTCTATTAGAATAAACTTATCATATCGAGTGGGTCCTAGCCTTTGACTCAAGAGAACATGTTTTAATCTTTGATAGCATCTAGTTAGAGGAAAATAAATCTTGTTGCCCCTTGCTAGCAGTCTGGCTTAAAATCCTATAACAAAGACCCCTAAGATCCTTGAAATGGTTAGTAAATGCCATGTCAGATGTTATGATGCCATGATCTTAGGTTTATGTTAGATAGATAGAAAAAACATACAAATCACGCAAGAGCCTTAGGCTTAAAGGCTTGCATGAGGTCCATAGGTAAGTACCCTTATCTATTGAAGTCAAGTTGGCTCAACTTGTCCTAAAAATAGAAACCGGGTTCTAGGAATCCTATATCACCGATCTTTCTCGAAGGTTTTATTTTAGTACAACAACTGATTTTCCACTAAGATATCCTCTGAGTCGAATCTCAATGAGTGTAACATCGAGTATCAACCAACTTTGTATTGCACCAAAGCCAACTATCTGATTACCTTCTAATGGCCTAGATGGGTCAATTAAGGTTCTAAAAGTTAGTTAGTGCTTACGACACCACGTGGAAGCCCAATGTTATCCTCGAATGACTCAAGGAACATCAGTACAAACCAAAGTGTCACACTAACATAGCCATCACTTCAACCATATCGGTATATACCATACAATTTCCATGATCTATTGCTACTTACCTAAGGTATCCCTAGATCCGGGTGTAGGATCTTTGCAAGAAATTAAACCCAAGAAACCCTTAAAATAAAGCAAATAATGCAAATAATTTAAAGCAAGTAAAATTTATATAAGACTCTAAGGTAACCCCTTTTTTAAGTATTTTCCCCATCAGAGTCGCCAGTTCTGTAATACAGTGGGAGAACTGACTTATTTTGCATTTTATCGCAAATGTTGCGGATAGCAAGAGTCTCCACCGACTTTTCTTTTATCCAATAAGGAAAGGGTGAAAATAATAGTAAATACCTTGAACATTTTGAGTTCGGGGGGTAAGTTATGAAAAGGGAAGGTGTTAGCACCCTTTTCGTCCGTAGTTATCTACGGGCTCTTAATCGCTAGCTCACTTTTTTAAAATTGCTTTGTGTGTGTGATTTGAAAATATTTTTGAAAAGCCAAATTATGGCCAACTTTGTAACGGTTCTTGTATCAATCCTCAAGAACGCGTACAAAGTGTTTGAAAATATTTTGTTTGAAAAGTGTGATGTGAAAACATTTTTAAGAAAATGTTCTGAGCGGGCGATTAAGAGTTCTTACCCACTCAAGGCCATTCTTATTCTTTTCCTTATCC